TATGGTGGCTCACAACCACTTATAACTCCCATTTCATGGGGTCCAGTGCCCTTTTCTGGCCTTTGTGGGCTCCAGGCACACATGTGGTACACAGATATACATAAAAAATGAATTAAAAATGCTTAGGAGTTGAAAGAGAGAAGTGATGGGGGTTGCCCTTTTTGTACATACGTTTCTCTTATGTGTCAATGAATAAAGCACTGTTTGGCTAGTGGCCAGACAGGAAGGATAGGCAGGGTTACCAGGTGAAGAGAATTTTGGGAAGTGTAGGCAGAGAGCAGTCATGATGTGAGCCCGGGGAAGGGAGGATGGGTCAGGCGTTCTCCAGTAAGCCAAGACCACATGGAAATACATAGATTAATAGTAATGGCTTAATAATTAAGACAGAGCTAGCTAATAAGAAGCCCAAGCCACCAGCCAACAGTTTTATAATTAATATAAGTCTCTGAGTGTTTGTTTGGGGGCTGAGCGGTAGTGGGACCAGGCTTCTGGGCCAAGAATCTCCCATAACGGAGAAGTGGAGAGTTACTATAGGCGCTCAGACCCCAAGTGCTCCTAACTAGTTTAAACAGGCTGTGCAGTGGGAACCCCAGCAGACAGTTCTTTCGTGGACCTCACTCCTTCAGCTTCATGCGCCAAAAGCACATCACCCCATCTCTCTGGCACCCACCCAAAGACGTGTGCAGATGTGGGGTGGTGGTGGTGTGGTCCTTCTCCATTCTTGTCCTTCTCCTGTTGGACCTCATGCATTTGTTGGCTTGGGTAAGGCCCCTTTTTACTGGGGTGACCTTTATTGACATTTGATGGTTACTGTGTGCCAATAAAACACTGAAATTGACACTCTGGCCAGTGCTGAATAGGCTGTCCTCCTAGTGCCAAAAGTATTTCAGGTATCTGACAATACAAAGAGAGATAAAAGGAAAGTAGAGCCCTTTAAAGAAAGAATAAAAAATAGAACACAAATCTCCACAGGAGTGTCAGGGACTTAGGCTGAGAGCCGCTCTGCAGGCCCAGGGGACTTTGCCAAGGGGGTTGATGTTTTTTGTTTGTACTTTCCTGTCCTCCTCCTCCTTCCCCCCCCCAGACTGAGCATCCTTATCCCAAATTCCCAAATTCTTCAACAATCTGAAAGTTTCTGGACTCCTATCTGAGGCCACATCTGACCTCCTATGGTGACATTCAAGATTCACCTGTAAAAGGACCCTCAATAAATGGATTTCATGTTTAGACAATCTGTGGTGGTTGCCAGAGAGCCCCAAGGTGAACTTGTCACCACAGAGCCACCGCTGATTGTGAATACTTTCTTGACACTGACTATAGATTTACAGAGTACAAAGTACTTTCTGGTTTAACTGTGGTTCCTGCAGGACTTGGGAAATGCCTTTGATGGAATACTCAAGGGCCCTTCTAGTTACAGAGAATCAGTTACCTAGGTAACAGCCCCGACAGTCAAAAGTTAAATGCTGTCTAACTTTGGGCTTCTATCTTGTCACACACTAATCACATCTGAAGTCAAAGGGTGGATTTATTTTGACAAATCACAGGCTAACATCTTGAGTCACAAGCTGCTGCAGCTCCCATGTTCCGGCAGTCGCAAAACTAAATGCAGGCAAGTACAAGGTTTGTTGTTTTTGAAACCGAATCTCATGTATCCCAGGCTGTCCTCAAACTTGTCATGCAACTGAAGATGTCATTGAACACTGGTTCTCTGGCTTGCATCTCTTCTGAGCTGGGATTATAGGCACGGGCCATCATGCCTAGCTTGTGTGAAGCTGGGGACAGAACCCAGTCCTTCGTGCATGCTAAGCAAGCACTCTACTAACTGAGCTGCTCCTCAGTCCCCTGAGGCTGACACCTAGGAATGCAGCAGCTGGACTTCTCTGTGGGTGAAGGCTGTGCTAATGCCCTGTCAGGTGAACCATGGTGGCCTTTGAAACCCCACATCTGTAATGAAAACCAGCCTTCTCTTCAGACTTCTCTGCTCCTGTCCTCAGACCCCTTGGCTGTGGTTCTTGGCAGCGCCATCTGTGCAGCCATGCCCTTCCTTTAGTGGCAAAAAGCTCTGAAGCTGCTCAGGCCTCAGAGCAGCACTGGTCTAATCCTACTGATCCTTGCTCCCGAGATCAACAGATCTGAAGTGCTTATTAACAGAAATGTTCCTTTGTCAGTTGTGCTCAGGTCAGGGTTGAAACAAGGGGACACTTGAATACAGCAAGTGTCTTCAGCTCATGGGGAGGCGGGTGTGGGCAGAGCCTTTTGTGAACTTCAACACAGCTGAAATCAAAGCAGGTTTGTTGGTTGGAGTGCTTACCTGTGGCAGGTCTGCAGAGAAGTTGTATTGCATTTGTGTCATACCTGCATGCACAAGTGTGTTTCCCTAGGAGAGTTGGTATCAGTTACATGTGACTCGTTCTAGCATTCTTCATTTTAGGGCAAATATTCTTTTATTGTTATCTGTGATAACCTGTTCTCAGAGCCCTACTGGAGAGGGTCTGTTGTTACCTGTGCTGCAAAGTACAACACAGGAATTGCTACCACCAGCCATTGGGAGCCTACTGTGCAGCTGGAGGAAGGAGCAAGGCCAATAAACTCAAGCGAAACACCCTTTCTTTTCTCTTTGGGAAAACACATAGGCAGATCAACAATCCAATCAGTTGCCCCGTAACCCCAAATAATGCTAATATATCACCATCTGTTTCTACATAGCAAATTCACGGTTGTATTTTCAGTAGCATCATTTTTTGTTGGCCTGAAATTCTCTCCAAGCTATCCCGAAGGCTGCACCCCACCGGTTCTCTTAGCTGTAGATGTCCTACTGAAGGCTCACAGTGAACCATCTGTTTGCTGCACTAACCTCTATGTTCCTTTCCATTTCAGCATCTCTCAAGAACTTCCGCAAGAATAAAGATGTGGTTCCGACTCCTGGTAAGAGAATGCACTGTATGTGATCAATCTTTTGCAGGGCTCTCGCACATGACACAAGGTGTGGGGCCAGGGAGCATTTGGGGTCACTCTGTCCAACTGAGAGTCACCCCAGTGGGAGTAGATATAGTGTGGTCACTTTATTCTTTGCCACATCTGGGTTTTCCTCATGCTTGCCTCTTGCACGAGAGGGGGTTTTCAGCTTTGGATGCACTGGGCTCCTTTGCTGTCCATGCAGACTGCCAAGCTGTCCCCAGAACGGTGATCATTTGATCATTTGACTAATGAATACTTTGACATAGCATGTGGTGGTGCTGTCTGCCAGTCAGTTCAGTTTAGGTAGACATGCTATCTCACTTTATGTGTTTATTTTGAAATTTCACTGCATTCATCCTGACAATATATATTTTTTAAGATTTACTTATTAATTATGTATACAGTGTTTTGCCTGTATGTATGTCCACAGGCCAGAAGAGGGCACCAGATCTGTAATAGATGGTTGTGAGCCACCATGTGATTGTTGGGAATTGAACTCAGGTCCTCTGGAAGAGAAGTCAGTGCTCTTAACCTCTGAGCCATCTCTCCAGCCCACCCTGACAATCTTTTAAAGAAAGGATTAGAGAAAAGTCTTCCAGGATAGTGGTGATGAGCTTATGATCCAGGAGGGAAACCCAGATGCGTGCATGCCCCTGGTGCACTGCAGGTCATGGCCTTAGTCACAGTGAGAAGCTGATGAGACTGGGCTGAGTCATGAAAGGTTACAATCTGTTAATAGTATAGTCAGTACCTGGAATAGCTCACTCATGGTTGATTTTGGAAGTCAAGGTGAGTGCCAGGACCTTAAAAATGTGTTTCAATATATCTTCACTCAGCATGGATATTATGCCAGACTAGTATTTTGTATTTTCATTTTGTTATATTACTTTATCCATATAAACACATTTTAATGTCTTCATTGTATTTTGAATTTTGGCTTGTGTGTTCAGGAAGGGTCTATGTGAATGGGATGAGGGGACTTCTGATTCATTCAAGAGTTATTCCTTTATTTTTTTTTAATTTACCAAACAATCTGTGTTTCTTCTGTATATCAGTTGAGGAGAAGCATGAGTAAGATACAACTCCTGCCTCAGTTTCTCACTGCCTTGGGTCCACACTAACCTTCTGAGTCCAGAAGGGATGAGTTGTGGCTCACATTACTTTGGTTGGGACTACTCATCTGGCCCACTAAGATGCAGATGGTTGGGAATGCAGATCTGGTGGCCACCTGATCATGACTGCCAGGCCCTCATTTACTATAAAGTCTTTTGCCTTGTAGATAATGCTAAACCAGGGAGATAGTTGACCAAATTTATGTGTTACTCAATAGCAAAGGGAATACAGGAAGGCACAAGAGAGTATTAGGGTATAACTCTAGTGTTCTGCCATATGGGGATACCTGGCCCAAGGCAGTGGGGCCACACAGGTTTCTGGGGATAGTCTAAATGGTCCAGATTTGGCATAATGGAAATGAGGAGTTAGGACGAAACTGGAGTTGTGGGGGGGGGCTCTGATTTAGGATTTGTCTGTTGCTTCTGAAGGTGAGAGGGAGAATAGATCTGGACGGGAAGATGGTAGGTGGACATGGTGAATCCTATGCATGTCAGTTGGGCTACACAGTATCTCCCACATTCTGTAAGGCTCCTCTCAGTCTTTATGCTCTCAGTTCAACTGTGCTTTTTTTTCTGTAGGAATGTGGTTGGCTAATCCCAGGTGTGTGTGTGTTAGGAAGAGCTGGTGTGCCTAGGCTCCTTCCCTGTGCTTTATAGACTATCTTGTTTGTGCTGAACACAGGTTCCAGACTTTCCCATGCTCTCATTTCTTTCCTTTTTATTTAATAAAAATGCCTTCCCTGTCTCAGTGACTCATAAACAAAGCAAGACTCTCCATAGATGTTCAGTTTTCTATGATCAACAGATTATATCTGTGTAGTTAATGTCTGGGGATGTGTCCTTAATTCCCTCTTCTCAGCCATCTGTCCTATCCTTCATATACTTGCTTGAGATTGTGTTTTTTTTTTTTACATGAGAGCAAATGTAATGATACAGTCAAAAGAGCATGTCAGGTTAAATACCCTGTGTGAAAATTATTTTCACTGTCATTACTAAATCCTTGCTACTATGATAGCAACATTCATCTGTGATTTATTTCAGTTGGTTTAAATAGCTACTATGTTTATTGGTGACTTTCTTCTTATTTTGTTTACTGAAAATAAAGAAAAAGAACAACATGACATTATAGAAGAGAAACCCACACCTGCACTGCCAGAAAGCAAAGAAGAAGCAGAAGTTCAAAGAGAGACACCAATGGGACAAGAATCACAAGAAGAGTCATCATTAACACAAGACCACAGACATGAGCAACAAGAATCATCTTTGGGACCACCCCACCCAGAACAAAGACCTGAGCAACAGGAATCCCCTGGGCAGTTGTCCTTGGAACCGTCACCCCCAGAGCAACAACCTGAACAACAGAAAGTATCTGGACAGTCATCCTTGGGACCATCATCCCCAGAGCAACAACTTGAACAACAAGAGGTATCTGGACAGCCATCCTTAGAACTATTACCCTCAGAGCAACAACTTGAACAGCAAGAGGTATCTAGACACTCATCCTTGGGACCATTACCCCAAGAGCAACAACTTGAACAACAACAAGTATTTGGACAGTCATCCTTGGAACCATCACCCCTAGAGCAACAACTTGAACAAAAAGAGGTATCTGAACAGCCATCCTTGGGACCATCAACTCCAGAGCAGCAACTTGAACGACAAGAGGTATCTGAACAGCCATCCTTGGAACCATCACCCCTAGAGCAACAACTTGAACGACAAGAGGTATCTGGACAGTCATCCTTGGGACCAACATCCCCAGAGCAACAACTTGAACAACAACAGTCCTCTGAAGAGTCATCCTTGGGATCATTTTTAGAGCAACATCCTGCGCAATGAGAATCTCCTAAATAGACCACCAATCCAAGAATATCCATTCAAGCAGAAGGAATCCCATTGACAGTCATCCTTGAGATAACAGTCTCAGAAACAGATGACTCTGGGACAACACATGGCACAAATACCATGAAAAAAAACCTGCCATGTTGTGAAGAGCAACAGTCAGGAACTGGACAGGACCACAGGCAAATGAAAATAAAATCAATTTATTTTCATATTATGCTGAGGTATGCCAGAAGGCTATTACAGTTATGAACCTCATATTTTGAAGGCCAGACTTAAGGTTTAAAAGATGAGTAAGATTAAATTCATCTGGAATACCTTTCTCTGTTTCCTGATTAGAAGGGTGGAAGGGGACAGTTTACTTTTAGACTTAGTGTATCTAGCTGCCTGGAGCAGGCCTGATTGCTTTTAGCAATATCAGCTCACACCTGATACCTCAGAAGTACTTGCTCACTTAAGACAAGGTCACATAACACACAGATGTCCAGAGTTAATTCTCACTTAAAGTTTCTTCAAATACCTACACATATGCATTTATACATACAAATACATGGTGGAAGGCTGGGGCAGGTAGGCTCTGAAGAATGGATGCGTCGGTGGTGGCAGCAGCAGCAGCAGCAGCAGCAGCAACAAAGTAGGTTCACTCTCAAGCAGGGAGCAAAGGCCACTAGGCAAAAAGCAGCATTTCTGCCCCTCAGACCTCTTTATATGTGGGTCACAGCTGGGAGATGTCACCTATTCTAGTGGAGGGTCTTTCCCCTTCCGTTAATTCTGTCAAGAACTATTCCCATAGTTCTGCATGGAGGTGTGCCCTTAGTCGGTCCCAGATTCAGTCAAGTTGACAACCAGACTAATCATCACAGGCAGGGTTTGTGATGGTGATGGCAAGGAGTGGGGTGAGGGTGGGGACAGAGGTTTTCAAATGAGGAAATCCATCAGAAGCACTTGGGTTACTTCCCTGAAGCCACACACTGAGGAGGTGATGGGGCCAGGATTTCCTTCCTGCCATCTGGACCACGAGGGAGGGGTAGAGCCGGATGACCTCCAGTGCCCTTGCCTGTCTTGACAACCCTCTGGCTCCATGGTGCACAAGAGATGATAGATCTGGCAGCAAGTCTTCCATGCTCTCAACAGCTGTGCGTTTGGGCCCCGCCTTCCCGTGGTATCAGTGGTGTTTGGCTGCAGAAGTGACTGATGATAAAAGCATAAAACAACTGGCCCACCACCCAGACACCTCCGCCAAGTCTCCTATGGCTAAGTCCCAGCAGTTATAAATAATAAAACAATGATGTCACTCTCCTCTGCTATCCAATATGGTGCGATAGGAAAATAAGCTGCTCCTCTTCCCTGAGTCCCAGCTATGTTTGATGTTGTTTTCTTTCTCTTGGATGTGTTTTTCTCAGTTGCTTCAACACGATGAGCTGCGCTCCTGTCAGTTTTACCCCAGCATGCAGCAGAGAAAGCATTATTTATTTCACTGATAGCTACCTTTCATCGCCAGTTCTGATGGTGCAGAAGCTCAAACACAGTTGGAATTTAATTGCCCTGGACCCCAGACTCTACACCTGTGTGAGTGCGGGTGTTTGAATACTGATGTGCTGGCTCCCTACCTCAGCCCTTAAAATATCCGTCTAGGACAGTGGGTGTGGAGACAACGCTCTGTTAGGGATATGCCTTCTGATGAAGCAGCTCCCACTCTTGAGTTTGATTTGAACGATTTAACACATGGCTTGCTTTTTTTTTTTTTCGTTAGTTTTTTTTAAAATTTTAAATAGCTTGTTTTACATGTCAATCCCAGTTCCCTCTCCCTCCCCTCCTCCCGCACTCCCCTTCCACCCTCCCTCCCACCCTATTGCCACATACTTCCACATAGGGGATGTCTAGAGTCTATCATTTTACTCTTGGTAGGGTCAAGGCACTCCCCTAAGAGTCCAGGCTGAGAGAGCATCTCTCTTTGTGCTATAGGCACATGAAGACAGATTGTATACCAGGAATAGACACTGATCCACAGCTCAGAGCCCCATAGGTTGTCCAGGCCTTCTCACTGACACTCACATTTGGGGGGTCCAGATCAGTCCCATTCTGGCCTCCCCACTGTCGGTCTGGGGTCCAAGAGCACTCCCCTGTTCAGATCAGCTGTCTCTGCTGGTTTTGCCAGCCCATTCTTTGCCAATTTGCTCATCATTCCTCTCTCTCTGTCACTGGGTTCCTTGGGTTCAGTTCAGTGCTTAGATGTGTGTTTGCCTCTGCTTCCATCAGTCCCAGGATGAAGGCTCCCGGATAGTTATAGACATCAAGTTCATTATCAGGAATGGGCATTCGAGGTGGTCCTTCCACTATTGCTTAGCTTGCCAATTGATGTTATACCTTTAGATCACTCGAGGTCACTCTGGTGCCTGATCTGTCTTCGATCCTATGATTCCCTCTTCCCCCTATTCTACCCCCACCCCCTCAACTTCCTGTTCCCCCATGACCAACTCCCTTCCTCTTTACCCCCTCTAGTCTTCCCAGGTCCCACTACCCCCCTCGCCCTGTTCCCCATCCATTCAGAGGATCTTGTCTCCATCCTCTTCTCTTGGGTACTATGTATATATGCATATCTTTTAGGTTCTTTCCTGTTTCCCAGACTCTCTATCTGTGGAAGTGCAGACTGGCACTATCCTGATCCATATCTAAAATCCATATATGAGTGAGTACATACCATGTTTGTCTTTTTGCGACTGGGTTACCTCACTCAGGATGGTTTCTTCCAGTGCTATCCATTTCCCTGCGAATTTCAAGATTCCATTGTTTTTTTCTGCTGAGTAATACTCCATTGTGTAAATGTACCACATTTTCTCTATCCACTCTTCAGTTGAGGGGCATCTAGGTTGCTTCCAGGTTCTGGCTATTACAAACAATGCTGCTATGAACATAGTGGAGCAGATGCCCTTGTTGTATGAACCTGCCTCATTTGGATAAATGCCTAAGAGTGGAATTGCTGGGTCTAGTGGTAGATTAATTCCCATTTTCCTGAGGAATCTCCATACTGATTTCCAAAGAGGCTGTATGAGTTGGCATTCCCACCAGCAGTGGAGGAGTGTTCCTCTCTCTCCACATCCCCTCCAGCATAAATTGTCTTCGGTGTTTTTGATTCTAGCCATTCTGACAGGAGTAAGATGGTATCTCAGAGTTGTTTTGATTTGCATTTCCCTGATGGCTAAGGATGTTGAGCACTTTCTTAAGTGTCTCTTGGCCATTTTAGCCTCCTCTACTGAGAATTCTCTATTTAGCTCTGTACCTCACCTTTCAAGTGGATCCTTTGGTGTTTTGGAGACTTGTTTCTTGAGTTCTTTGTAAATTTTGGAGATTAGCCCTCTGTCAGATGTAGGGTTAGTGAATATCTTTTCCCATTCTGTGGCCTGCCTTTTTGTCTTTTTGATTGTGTCCTTTGCCTTACAGAAGCTTTTTAGTTTCAGAAGGTCCCATTTGTTAATTGTTGATCTCAGTGCCTGTGCCACTGGTGTTATGTTTAGGAAGTGGTCTCCTGTACCAACTCGTTGAAGAGTATCTCCCACTTTCTCTTCTAAAAGTTTCAGTGTGGCTGGATGTATGTTGAGATCTTTGATCCATTTGGACTTAAGTTTTGTACAAGGCGATAAACATGGATCTATCTGCAGTCTTCTGCATACCAGTACCCAGTTATGCCAGCACCATTTGTTGAAGATGCTTTCTTTTTTCCACTATACAGTTTTAGCTTCTTTGTCAAAAATCAGGTGTTCATAGGTGTGTGGGTTAAAATTAGGGCTTTCGATTCGGTTCCATTGGTCTACCTGCCTATTTTTGTGCCAATACCAAGCTGTTTTCAGGACTATAGCTCTATAATAGAGCTTGAAGTCAGGTATGGTGATGCCTCCTGAAGTTCCTTTATTGTATAGGGATGTTTTGGCTATCCTGGGCCTTTTGTTTTTCCATATAAAGTTGATTAATGTTCTTTCCAGGTCCTTGAAGAATTGTGATGGAATTTTGATAGGGATTGCATTGAATCTATAGACTGCTTTTGGCAAGATTGCCATTTTTATTATGTTGATCCTACCAATCCAAGAGCATGGGAGATCTTTCCATTTTCTGGTATCTTCTTTGATTTCTTTCTTCAAAGACACAAAGTTCTTGATATACAGGTCTTTCACTTCCTTGGTTAACATTATCCCCAGATATTTGATGCTGTTTTTGGCTATTGTAAAAGGTGATGTTTCTCTGATTTCTTTCTCAGTCACTTCATCATCTGTATATAATAGGGCCACTGATTTTTTTGAGTTTACCTTGTATCCTGCCACATTGCTGAAGGTGTTTATCAGCTCTAGGAGTGACCTTGCGGAGTTTTTTGGGTCACTTATGTAAACTATCATATCATCTGCAAATAATGAAAGTTTGACTTCTTCTTTTCCTATTTGTATCCCCTTTATCTCCTTTTGTTGTCTTATTGCTGTAGCTAGAACTTCAAGTACAATATTGAAGAGATATGGAGAGAGTGGACAGCCTTGTCTTGTTCCTGATTTTAGAGGAATTGCTTTGAGTTTCTCTCCATTTAGTTTGATGTTAGCTGTTGGTTTACTGTATATTGCTTTTATTATATTCAGGTACGTTCCTGTTATCCCTGATCTCTCTAGGACCTTTATCATGAAGGGGTGCTGGATTTTATCAAAGGCTTTTTCAGCATCTAGCGAGATGATCATGTGGTTTTTCTTTCGCAGATTGTTAATATGGTGGATTACATTGATAGATTTTCTAATGTTGAACCATCCCTGCATTCCTGGAATGAAGCCTACTTGATCATGGTGGATGATTTTTCTGATGTGTTCTTGAATCCGGTTTGCAAGTATTTTATTGAGTATTTTTGCATCGATGTTCATGAGGGAAATTGGTCTATAGTTCTCTTTCTTAGTTGTGTCTTTGTGTGGCTTGGGTATCAAGGTAATTGTAGCCTTGTAGAAAGAGTTTGGCAGTGAGCCTCCTGCTTCTATAGTGTGGAATACTTTGACGAGTATTGGAATGAGCTCTTCTTTGAATTTCTGGTAGAATTCTGCACTGAAGCCATCTGGGCCTGGGCTTTTTTTGTTTGGGAGACTTTTGATGACTGCTTCTATTTCATTAGGGGTTATAGGTCTGTTTAGATTATTTATCTGTTCTTGATTTAGTTTTGGCAAGTGATATCTATCCAAGAAATTGTCCATTTCCTTTAAATTTTCAAATTTTGTGGAGTACAGATTTTCAAAGTATGCCCTGATGATTCTCTTGATTTCCTCAGAGTCCGTTGTTATGTCCCCTTTCTCATCCCTGATTTTGTTAATTAGCATGTTCTCTCTCTGTCTTTTGGTTAGTTTGGACAGAGGTTTGTCTATTTTGTTGATTTTCTCAAAGAACCAACTCTTTGTTTCATTGATTCTTCTCAATGTTTTCCTGGTTTCTACTTGATTGATTTCAGCCCTCAATTTGATTATTTCCTGGCGTCTGCTCCTCCTGGGGGAGTTTGTTTCTTTTTGTTCTAGAACATTCAGCTGTGCTATTAATTCTCTAGTATGACTGTTCTCCAGTTTTTTCATGTGGGCACTTAGTGCTATAAACTTTCCTCTCAGCACTGCTTTCAAAGTGTCCCATAAGTTTGTGTATGTTGTGTCTTCATTCTCATTGAAATCGAGGAAGTCTTTAATTTCTTTTTTTATTTGTTCCTTTACCCAGGGATGGTGCAATTGTGCATTGTTCAATCTCCATGAGTTTGTAGGGTTTCTGCGATTTGTGTTATTGTTGAATTCTAATGTTAATGCATGGTGGTCTGATAAGATGCAGGGGGTTATTCCAATTTTTTTGTATCTGTGGAGATTTGCTATGTTTCCTATTATGTGGTCAATTTTAGAGAAGGTTCCATGTGGTGCCGAGAAGAAGGTATATCCCTTTGTATTTGGGTGGAATGTTCTATAGATGTCTGTTAAACCCAGTTGGGTCATAACTTCTATTAATTCTTTTGTTTCTTTGTTAAGTTTCTGTCTGGAGGTCCTATCTAGCGGTGAGAGCGGAGTGTTGAAGTCTCCTACTATTAGTGTGTGAGATTTTATGTGCATTTTGAGCTTTAGTAATGTTTCTTTCACGAATGTAGGTGCCTTTGTATTTGGGGCGTAGATATTTAAAATCGAGACTTCGTCTTGATGTATTTTTCCTTTGATGAATATGAAGTGCCCTTCTTCATCTCTTTTGATTGATTTTAATTTGAAGCCTAATTTGTTAGATATTAAGATTGCTACGCCCGCTTG